ACTATCATATGACCCCTATTAGCAAGCGCACATAGGGGTCAAGGAAAAACTCCCTTTTACAGGAAGAAACCTCCAGTAGCTCAGGCAATCAGCCAACTTTGACACAAATGGATCCCAGCATTTTATATCTGCAGACAATCTGAACAAGGCTACATGGGAAACAGCTCAGGGAAATAGGACACCGGTGAAGTCAATCAAGACAATAACAGAGGGGTAGCAAAAGTCAAAGCCACAAGAGACGACTATCAAAGCAAAAGAGGAAATAACCCAAAAGATAGCAAGAAAGCACAGAGACACGAAACTACCGCTGACCACGACACACTGACGATGCAGGAAGAATAAAGAGAGGATAACTTACAAAACTGAGCGATCATCATGATTAAACACAAAGCAAAACTCAGTATTCCCAGAGATCCACAGCATACTGGAATTTAAATGGGAACAAATAAACATGAGCCTAAAAACACAATAAACAGAAAAGTGTAAACCTTGAACACTGGAGACGCAGGAAAAACCCCAAAGAAGCTCAAATTCAAACATATAACCAAAAGTTTCTAAACTCCAGAGCACAGTGAAACCCAGAGACCTGCTTTGCACCGAGCAGACATTTTTTCCCATCAGTCTCCACTGCTGACTCAGTGTCTGTCCTCCACATGCCCAAGACAACATCCACACATCAGTCTTTAATTTGGCATCGTCCTTATGTAATCTGTGACCCATTTCACTTCTGCTGACTCAGCTCGCAGCTGCCAGTGGTTTGCTGCATACCTTGGCAGGATCCATCCGCCATTTCTTTTCCTTCTCTTTGGGAATCAGACCTTTAAATCTCTCCTGGACTGCACCGGCAGCTTTGGTTAGCGTGGAGCACTTTCAGTGACCTTCATGGTTGGTTTCTTAGCCATTTATGACTCAGCTGCTGGAATCGCTGACGGGAAACATCGGCTAATTTGATTTTGTCTTTTGGGAACATCTTGTGCAACATTTTCCTTCAACTATTGTTGTCAGTAATTTTGGGCGTGTGTTACAGTTGGAAAATGCACCGCTGGATCCCAAAGAAACCAAATCAACCACCAAACTGTGCTGACTGTAATAGCTGCCACTGTATTCTTCAGTTTCCCCTTATTTTTAAATCTGAAACTAGGTGTGTTACTGTCTCATGTCACCGACAGTCTGAAATTATTTATTCACATATATGTCTGGTGGTGGCACCAGAATGAGAGATGTGATCAGAGGGATGCACACTAACACATCTGAAGCAGCTCACAGGCCTCGCTCGGTGTCTTGCACGCAGTCTTCTCAGGATTTCATGAGAACTTGTTTGCTTTACCAAATTCTGCAGAAATAAGAGAACCTGCACAACGTTTAAAAACTTTATTAAGCTGTATAAATACATTTACTTTGACTCACATCAGTACAGGTAAACATCACAGGTCAGCACAGCCGTTTTAATAGTTTACAAACATGTACAGTACTTAAAACATTACAGTGCCGTATTAAAATACAGTTACACGTTCGATTTAGTCGCCTTAACTGGAGCAAGTTTTAAAACAAACCAAGCCGAGCAGGTCAGGCCCGAAAAGCCTTCACATCACATCAGTGTCGTTTAGAGCTGCGTCAGTTTAGTCGTTTCTAACGTAAACCGTGTAATGTTCTCTGACATGTGAACAGCTGATTAGACAAACCGAGACTTTTGAAGATGACTTTGTTTTAGTGCCGTTCAAAGACCAAACCATTAACTGTTTAAATAACTGGTACAATGATGAGTTTCAGTGCATATACAGAGGAGAAAAGAAGAGCAGGGAGAGATAAGTGGGTTTCATTTCAGCTGAACACTTAATGTAAGTCAGCTCTGCTGCACATCAACACTTTTTTGAAAGAGTCTCGTCCTCTTCCTGTACACGTCTCATGTTGTTCAAAATGCAGTGCAGCCATTGTAGTCGCGCTGACGAGACAGTCACTTGTTTTGTTTACAGGAGATAACATTTCTACAGAATATGAACTTACAGCAACACTGCTGGTTTTACATGTTAACCTCATATTTCAGGCTTCTAGTTTTATTGCTCCGTCTTTGTTGGTGTTTCTGTCCCGGCCTGCTTCCATCCGACGCTCGGGTCTGGTTTGAGGACGATGAAGAAGAGAGTTAAGGCTTCCGGGGTTCGATGTTAGTCTTTTTAGTGCTTCTGGACTCAATGCATGGCTGGCGTCGGGGCGATCTGCTCCGCCGGTCCGGTATCTGCTGCTCCTCGTGCTGAGCTGCTCATGGCTCCGTGGTTAAGGGTGACCAGCGGCAAAGCGCTCAGCAGGGCCTTCTCCAGCTTCTGCTCCAAAGCATCCAAGCGGCGGTCCATGTGCTCCTTCAGCCTCTTCTCCATCTCCTCCAGACGGCGCTCCATAGCTGAGTCCAACTCCCTGAAGGGACATAAAAGAAACAGTAACACTTTTTGAGAAAGTTGGACTTAATAAAATCTGGGTGTATCAGCCGCTGGTGTTGCCGATTTATGAGGAGGTATACAGCTGAAGTTGAAGTGTGCAAGCTGACACTGAGTTAAAATAAAGGGGAATATTTAAGGTCAGTCAAACCTTTGCCTGATCGTCACTAATCAGAGATGAAGTTTTTTGACCAGGTCGCTGGTCTGTATGTGTGTTACTTTCTCTACTGTGTGATTCAGAGCGGAGTGACTGTGGGCGATTCTTGAAAATGAAGCCACATCAAGAGACAAAAGCCTAAACATAAGCTAAACCACCCACACAGTCGGTGCTGACCATCATCTTCCTCAGACCTCACAATCCTGCTGCATCCACACCCTGATTCAGCCAAACCACCAGGAGGAAACTTTCTAAACTGAAAACACTGAAAAGATAAATAAATAATTTTTTTTCCACCTTAAATATTTTCAGTCTTTTTCCAACATTTCTGTTTTGGGGGCTTTACATGCAGAGTCCAACAGCATGACTATTTTGCCCTCAATGGTCCTGAAAAATCCACAAAATCCTCCATTTTTTCTTTCCTTGATTCAGTCACACCAGTCTGGCAGCTCCAGTAACTAAACCAAGGAAACTCCTGTTCAGTCAGTGAGCGCCGTCTCTGACCCTTGTCTGCACACTGATGGTTACTGTACAACATCCTCACAGGGCACTGTCCTGCTTTATGAAATATCAGAAGGTAAAAGTATGACAGGCTTGATGTACTGCCCTTCCATATCGGTAATGAAGGCCTCAGTCATACAGGCCTAGAGGTCGGTTGCTGACAATCTGTCAACCAGGTGCTGGGAAAAATGAGTACTCCACAACAAGCTGGCAAGTGGTTGTTGGCAATTGCTGTTAAGCTAAAGCCCTTCACGCAGGCTTGATGACCAGTCAGTCGCCGCCGAACAACTACTCACCACTAGAGAAAAGTGTGTATTCTGTGAGTGATCAGCAAATAGTTACTGGAAGTTTCAGGCAGTCTCTAGAGTGACATCCATTGTAAAGAAATATGCAGAAAACCTTCTTACATTTCTTTGGTCGTTAGCAGAGGGCTGCAGTAACCAGACGTTTGCATGGAAAACACCAACTTATCTGCAAAAACTCAAAAACTACTCAACACGCAGCAGTGAATCTTTAACACAAACTGGAAATGGAGACAATCCACCTTCAATTTTAAAGCTGCCAATCTAATTATGCATAATGAAGACTAGTTTAAAATGTCTCTGTGAGCAAATAAATGAACCCATCTCCGATTACAGCAGACCTAAAGTCAGATAATCTACAAACAAGCTGTTATTAAAAATGTTGTTAACCTTCACGCTGTGATAAAAAGGCAGCAAAAGGTAAATGTGCACGTGAACTCCAGACAAACAGCATCAGGTGGAAAGAATAAACAAAGGAAGTAAACACACAGAGAGGAAACACAAGGAGCTAAACTTCAAAATAAAACAGGAAGCAAACAGAAATGGAGAGCAGGAATAATCTCACATAAATACAAATAAACACAAACACATGAGAACAGAGGAAAAACTGCAAAAACACAAAGGAGCAGAAAAACTAACAACAGCCAAAGACGATTATAAAAACCAAGATTAATTAACATCTACTGTTCAAAGCAAGCAAAACCTTTAAGTAATCTACACCATTTATTACTTTTCCTCGGTTTTCCGGCATCACGCCTGAAGTCTTAAACTCTTAATATTTTAGTGCGATGACTCGTGGGAAAGACGTACCGTCGTGTCGCTGTCCTCGATGTGGAGTCACGCTCTGTCAGCCCACATGTGCTGCACAGATCTGACAGAGAGCCTGATTTATTGTGCAGTTTAACTCACAGAGACATTTTTATTTGAAGAGTGACACTAGGGTCTGCTGGAAAGTTACTCTAGCCACAAATAAATAAATAAATGAATAAAGGATTGTGTTTGTTCTGATGCAGCTTTTCAGATATTTTAATGAGTCACACAAACAGCGGCCCTGATAAATGACCTCTATTGTTTCAGTATCAGCCAGCCTCTAACCAACGCCAGCGCCTTCTGCCTACCTGTGCCTGTCAGCTGTTTAACAGCCAGAAGGATTTTTGGGAATCACCACAGGAGAGATCCTCCCAGCAGATGTCGTGATATCCGTGAATATTCCAGCATGTAGGAAATGTTTGGGCGTCTGCTCATTCTTCACTAACACTATCAGCTAGAAATGTGACCTCAGACAATCAAAAGCATTGTTCTGTTGGATAAACGAGTCTCTGTTTAATCCACACGCTCACAGCCTCAACAACGTGACTGTGCAACAATCACACAGCTGTGGTAACCGCAACACAGCAAACACAAATGCTTACTGTTCCGATAACAACAGCCATACCTCACAGCTTTATATCATTTAGATCATTAACAAGAAGAAAGTTTCACCAAGTGGAAAATGTGACAGGCATGTGGTGAGCAAACACAAGTGTGAGTATGTTTAATGACGCCAGATGCAGGAGGAGCTTGTGGGAAGAAAACAATTAAATCAGAAGAAAAAGTCCCAAACACAGCAGCAGAAACGGGAACGACTGACAGATCTGTGCATGTGAAAGGCCACAGCTGATAAAGCCGTCCAGAAACACACATGTTATGTTAGCTGTTTATTCTAAATGAGCTGGGTGAGGTAGACAGAAGTGCGTCAGATAAAGTGCTGTATAAATGAATGTATGGTTGACGTGTTGAAACAGCTGGTTTAATGTGGGAAAAAGTACAATTATGATGCATTTCTGCGTTAAAAAAGAGCGTCCCTAATATTCCGTCTGTGAAGACTTCTGCAGCATGTACACACAAAAACTGAAAACTGAACACCTACCAAGGAACGTGCATTGGACTCGTCCAATTTTAAGACATGCAGAAATCTTTGAGCCACTAAGAACCAAAGTCTTTCGTATTATGGAAAAAACGGCTGCAGGATTCCTGTAATGATACTTTTCTAACACAAGGTGGAGCCAAATCATCTGATTCCAACATGGAGCTGCTACGCTCGACTCACCACGTGCCGTTTCTCATCATCTTCTCCTTCTCTGCTGCAGCATCATCCAGTCTCAGCTGGGTCACCTGACCGCAGACGTTCTGGAGCATGGGCAGAAGCTCGGGACTGGAGCCGAACCCCTGGTTGACCCCCTGTCCCTTCAGGAAGTGCG